TTCTGGGTGCCACACTTCAAGAGGGATGTGGACAACATGGAGAGGGTCCAGAGGAGGCCACTCACATGATCAGGGGACAGCAGGGCAGGCCCTATGAGGAGAGGCTATGGGACCTGAACCTGTTCAGCCTCCACAAGAGAAGGCTGAGGAGGGATCTAGTGGCCTGTTACAAACTAGTCAGGGGGGATCAGCAGGCACTGGGGAAGTCCCTGTTCCCCCGAGCACTGCCAGGAGCGACCAGGAATAACGGTCACAAGCTGGCAGAGGGTAGATTTAGGCTAGATATTAGGAGGCGCGACTTCACGGTCAGGGCAGCTAGGATCTGGGACCAACTTCCAAGAGAAGTGGTGCTGGCTCCTACCCTGGGGTTTTTTAAGAGGAGGTTAGATGTACACCCCAGTACTCTTTCCTGCCATGGCAGGCGGTTGGACTAGATGATCTACTTGGGTCCCTTCCGACCCTAGAAACTATGAAACTAAATAGTCCCTAACCTGTTCTTTCACTACTGAGGGCTGCTCACCTCCTCCCCAAACTGTGCTGCCCGGTGCAGTATGGGAGCTGACCTTGCTTGTGAAGACCGAGGTAAAAAAGGCATCGAGCACTTCAACTTTTTCCTCATCCTCGGTCACAAGGTTGCCTTCGCCATTCAGTTAGGGACCCACACTTTTTCCCTGTTTTTCCTCGTGTTGCTAATGTGCTTGTAGAAACCCTTCTTGTTACCCTTCATGTCCCTTGCTAGCTGCAACTCCAGTTGCACTTTGTCCTTCCTGATTTCATCCCTACATGCCTGGGCAATGCTCTTATACTCCTCCCTGGTCGTTTGTCCAGGCTTCCACTTCTTGTAAGCTTCTGTTTTGTTTAAGCTCACCAAAGAATTCTCTGCTAAGCCAAGCTGGTCACTTGCCACATTTGCAATTCATCCTGCACATCGGGATGGTTCGTTCCTATGGTCTCAGTAAGATGTCTTTAAAATACAACCAGTTCTCCTGGATTTTTTCCTCCTCAGGCTGTCCTCCCAGGCAATCCTGCCCATCAGTTCCCTAACAGAGTCAAAGTCTGCTTTTCTGAAGTCCAGGGTCCATACACTGCCGCTCTCCATCCTTCCTTTTGTCAGGATCCTGAACTCAATAATCTCATGGTCACTGGTGCCCAGCTTGCTATCCACTTCTACATCCCCCACCAATTCATCCCTATTTGTAAGCTGTAGGTCAAGAAAAGCATGGCCCCTAGTTCCCTCAGCCTGTCCTCACAAGTCCTATACCCCAGCCTCCCAACCATTTCCTTTGCCCTTTGATGGACTCTCCAATGTGTCCACATCCTTTCTGTAGTGGGGGGCCCAAAACTGGACACAGGACTCCAGATGTGGCCTCCCCGGTGCTGAATAGAGGGGAAGAATCGCTGCCCTCAACCTGCTGGCAACACTGCTACCAATGCAGCCCAGGGTGCTGTTAGCCTTCTTGGTGACAAGGACACATTTGGCTTATACGTCCCAGAAGAACAGCTGCTTTCAGCTCTCCACACAAATTAAATTGGCCCTGGGGTATGTGGCAGTCTGCAATGCAGATATGCCCACACCAGCATGTCGACACGTCTTGACTGTGGCTTAGTGACTGCAAGGCCATCAGTGTATGCTGACTTGCTGCCTGCTGAATGCAGCCTGCTCTAAGGTTATCATGCCTGGCCCTCTCAGTAATCTGGGAGGCGTATTTCTAGACCACAGAATTTCCTGTTTTTCCCCCTTTTGTGGGGAACTGTTTCAAGAACTCTCTAGCCAGGCCTTTCCCTACCTGGCAAGGTCGTCTCAGCTATTCAGAAACGTGGGTCTCTGTCAGAACCTGAGATGAGAGGTTTAATATGATGTGTGCTGTGGAGGGAAGAGGCCAGAGCTGATGGAATGACCTGACTATCTTTGACGAGAACAGCTGAAAGTACAAAGCTTTCCTTGGTCTTGGCACTCAGATCCAGCTGTTTAGTTCCTGGCCAGCAGGCCCTACCACCCCCAAATGAAAGGCTTTGGCTAATGGAGTCTAATTGGATGAGCATGGAGGGGCAGCCCTCTGGTCACGTGCTCCTGAAAGCACTGTCCTGCACTCCCCTCTATCTTCCCCAGGCCCTAGCAATACAGCAGGCAGTGTATGCAAGGTTGTTTGTGAGCCCTCTCCCCAGCAAGGTTTGGGAAGTGTCTTGCACAAAAGGCAAATGTCCTTCACTGCTCTGCAGACCCTGCAGAAGTAAACAGTGCTGCCTGGCAGCTAATAATGTTTTGGGCAGTGGGGAAGTAAGCGGTTTGCTGAAGCTTTCTTGACCTTCTTGCAAAGCTTTTATGGGTCTTTCTGCCTCGTTGCAGCATGATTGAAGCCTGCAGAACCTCTCAGGAAGTGAGCCAGCTGTCTCAGGAAGGACAGAAGATGCTAGCCGATTTGGAGAAGTCACCCAAACCCATAGTTGCTGCCATCAGTGGTTCCTGCCTGGGAGGAGGACTAGAGGTAATGTGTAGTGTTTCAGCCTGGGTGATTTTGGAGAATGTGGCTGGATTTCTCAAAAGATTTACCAGGACTGATGCTCCATGTGTGTCTTTGAGTACCTGCTAATGGTGGGGGGGGGGTCACAGCACATTAAACATCTGCTACATTCTTCCTTCTGCTTGCATAAACATTGGACGGTTTCTCAAGCAGGGACAGGGCTGGGCTGGCCAGTATTTAGAAAGGACAGGGAAGAGGAGAGGCTGAGGGTACTGGGTTGCAAGAATATATGAAAGGGTTGTGAACAAACTTCAAAAATAGATTCTCCTTTAAAGGAGGAAAACGTGGGAAGCCATAGCTTTTCCCTTGCAGGCTGTCAGTTCCAGCCTTCAAGGGGTTGCTTGGGGCCCCCTATGCCCCACATACATGTGCCCCCTGCCCCACACACTGGGGGCCTGGGCGCAGGGAGTACTGGTTTGGGACTGGCCATCAATGTTTACAAATGGCTCCTGGTACAAAAGAAGCTGAGAACCACTGGACTAAATGACCTCCTGAGGTCCCTTCCAACTGTAACTTTCTATGATTCTAGAAGCTGTTGAGAATCAGTTATCTGCTTGGTGGCCTTGTGTGTTGGGACTGAGCTGATGCCCTTGTCCTGTGCCGAAGAGTGCACTGCTGTGGGACTGTCTTTCAGGCACACAGGTCCTGGCCACTTGCATTTCTTTAAGAGCCTTATTAGCGTGTGCAGGAGGCTGGTATCAGTGACCTGACCAAATTCCTGACTGAGTAGCTATCTTCTCGCATCACTTCTGTTGAGTGCAGTATTAACTTCATGACGCCGAACAGCATGTCTAACACTATCACACAGGGCATTTATACATATACCTTTCTGTCTCGCAACGCACTGGAGATCCAGCGTGTCGGAGCAGACTTGATTAATTGAGTCTGCTTCGCACGCAAGCTAACGCACACTGCGCTGCTTTGCATGCAGTTGTATACGTGGCAAAAGGCTTGTGAGCATGCAGAAAATGGCAGCGGTGCACTTTTGAACTAAAACACCTCCAATGTGTTTTAGTTCAAAAACTCGCCATCGCCATTTTCTCAGCACTGATGTTACAACTGCATGTGCCCAGTGCTGCAGCACAAACTTGTACAGATGCCCAGAGTGACTGCATCCCCTGACACTCGCTAGGCAGAAGAGTTTTAAACTCCAAAGACCTTGTGTTCCTTAGTGAAAGTGCTACTGCTCTCAGGGACTCTCCTACCTGAGGGCTGACTGGTGGGCCAGGCTCTGAGCTTTCCAATTGTGATAAACATCTGAGTATGATGTGGGTGTAGGGCTAGATCCACTGTCATGTACTGCATGAGGCAAATAAGATTGCACTGATGGCAGTAACTGAAAATAGCCAGGAAGAACAAGGTCAGCTGGCCAGATGACCATAGAAGAACCATTTCAAACCCAGAGCGGGCAAGCAATGAGTCTGGAGGGAGTCAGACAACTGTTCAACTTGAGAATGGAATATAGTTGAGAACAACGGCTGTAAGCTGACTGAGAGTAGATTCAGGCTAGACATCAGGAGCCACTACTTCACAGTCAGGGTGGCTAGGAGCTGGAACCAATTTCCAAGGGAAGTGGTGCTCGCTCCTACCTTGGGGGTCTTCAGAAGGAGGCTAGACAGTCACGTAGCTGGGGTCGTTTGAGCCGAGCATTCTTTCCTGCCCGTGGCAGGGGGTCGGACTTGATTTGCTCAGGTCCCTTCCGACCCTACCAACTATGAAACTATGGAGCTGAGGCAGGTTGAGCTCTTGGCATTTCCTTCACCAGATGCCAGTGAAAAACCAACTTGTATTTGTTACATCTCTGTCTCTTGCTTCCAGGTTGCCATCGCCTGCCAATACAGAATAGCAACAAAGGACAAGAAAACAGTCTTGGGCACACCTGAAGTATTACTGGGGCTCCTCCCTGGGGCAGGGGGCACTCAGAGGTTGCCAAAGATGGTAAGTGAAGACCACAGCAGTCCCTTCCCTCCACATGACTGTCTCTAGTGCTGACACCCTCTGTCTGCTTTCCAGGTGGGGCTTCCTGCTGCCTTTGACATGATGTTGACTGGGAGAAACATCCGTGCTGACAGAGCCAAGAAGATGGGGCTGGTTGATCAGCTGGTGGACCCACTAGGTCAGATGCAAAGGCACAAGAATTGTCTTCAAGTTACACCCCGCCAATTCTCCTTCGAGGATAGGGAATGATCTGTGCAGTGCAATTTAGCTGGGTAGTGGAGGCCTGGAAATGTTTTACTTTGACCATTTATAGCCAAGTGAATTGCAAAGGGTAGAATACAGGGTGGACCAGGGACTCCTTTAGTGAGTAGTTGAAGTCAGATAAATCCCTGCATCCTTGTCTGGTTGAAAGGAGAGCGTGATTGCTGAAGGCAGGAGGTCCCCTAAGGCCTGGATTTATACCATATAGATACTGCTCTTACTCTAGAATCAACTTCCAAGGGAAGTGGTGCTGGCTCCTACCTTGAGGATCTTTAAGAGAGGGCTAGATGTCTACCTAGCTGCGGTCATTTGAGCCCAGTATTCTCTCCTGCGCAGGGCAGGGGGTCGGACTAGTAGATCTACAAGGTCCCTTCCGACCCTACATCTATGAATCTGTTACTGACTTGAGGCTTTGTGGTGGAGATACATTAATCCTAGCATTGCCAGGCATTCAGTCTTGCAAACTGGCTGCAGTCAAACATGTCAGTGAGCCTAGTAGCTTCCATTGGTAGGGACCTACTTAAGTTGTGGTGAGAGACAGGTTTTTTTGCAGCCTGCTTGTGGCTGCTGATTAGCAGAGGGGCTGTGGAGGCCCTGTCCCTCACCACTGATTGGCTAAGAGGCAAAAACCACATAATTGCATAGCACATTGCTTGGAAATATCATATAAATTGCCATAATATTATAAATCTAAGTATTACATTTTAAATCTAAATCTTTGTATTCCAGTAAACATTTTTGGGGGGCAATTCCACGGGAGATTGCAGTCAACACTATTTTTGTGAAGATCCCCATTTTTCACAATTTCCATGAAAAATGCAAAACAGCAATTTAAGTAGGTCCCTGCCCATTGGTCATGCTTTTCATTGCATCCAAATAAAGTTCCCTCAGTGCAGGAACTGGGCAGAGAGACCCTCAGCGTCTGCACAGGATTAGACCTTTGTGTTTTTGGGAGTGGGATCAATTCTAAGACAGATTCTATTTAAAGAAAGGCAGTTTGGCGGGTGGGGTGGGGGGTTCTTTCTGTACAAGTTTCTCCGAAATATCACCAAAGTCTGTCCTCTTGCCAGATGGACATGAGAAATTGAATTGCCCCCAATTAGCTGCTGCTTCCTTTTTGTTTAGAAATTTTCCATAATTGTTTTTTGAAGCATTCCAGCTAGAGCTACACCTGCTTAGGCACCTGGGTTGTAGTCTGTTCAGGAAAAGGGATACTGGCACAGTTTTCCACACGTAGGAAGCCAAGACCATTGCTAGAACTGCCCAGATCATTTGGTTTGTAAGGAAACTCCATATATTTATATAGTTCATGAGCTGTGATTGCAAGCAGCTCTTCACTGCCTTTACAATAGGCCAAGATGATCTGGCGGTATGGCAAAGAGGTACTTGCTCACTGTTCAAATGTAGTGTCATTCTGAAAAGTGACCATAGAGAAACTCAACAGAGCAAGAAACTGTCATGAAGTCAGAACCTTGGGACCACCATGGTTTGCTTAGCAGCAGCAGGTCAACTTATAAATGAGAAGGAAGTTGAGACTGGCTCCTCCTTCTTAACATTAAGATGCAAATGGAACACACAGTAGCTTAATCACTGCAGTTTGAGTGGGACTGGAAACAGCATTTTTAATTAAGGTTTAAACAGCTTACATGAGCCCCTTGCCCATGAACAGGCAAGTGGGAATGAACACAATACTTCTCTTTTGATCTGTCCTGGCAGGAGACAGTGGAGTGATAGGGTCTTGGGAAAGTTGGTCAGGTGGTCTCATCTAGCCCAACCCCCTGCTCAAGGCAGGATCATCCTTGACTAAACTGTTGCAGGCAAATGTGTGTCTAGCCTGCTCTTAAAAGTCCAGTGATTTGAGATTCCACTGGACAGCCTGCCCCAGTGCTTGATCACTCTCCTAGTCATAAAGTTCCTCTTAGCCTCCAAGCAAAATTTCTTCTGCTGCAGCTTGAAGGCATTACTTCTAGTCCTATCCCCTATGGCCACAGAGAAAATACTAAGTTATGATTGTGTCACTCTTGTTCTGCCAGTGACAGGGGACTCCCAAGGAGACTAACCCTATTCCCAGAACTCTGCTGACAGGGTATTTAACTCCATAGTCAGTGAAACATGCCTCGCTTAGCTTTTGTCTCCCTTCAGTCTTGCGGGGTGAGGGAATAAGAGACTCACTAGAGCAAGAGACAGCTCTTGGGAAGGAAGTGTCCATGTTAGTCACTGGATGGGTGAGACCAGAACTGCTGCAACACCTGGGCTGGGGCCATGCTCCATGCCCCAGGCTGCATCATGGATGGAGCCTGCTGGCCCAAAACAAGGGTCAGGGGTCAGGGAGGAGCAGGCAGGGAACAGAGGCTCTACAGGTGGGGCAGTGGAAGATGTGGGAGAAAAGGCTGCAGCAAGGAGATGGTGGGGTGCAGAGCCAACAAGGAGGGAGCAGTTGCAGCTAGAGCTGCACCTGACCCCAGGTAAGAGCTGGAGCTGGAGCCGCAGCAGTCTCCTGCCCTTCTTTCCCATACTCAGTTCCAAAATGAGGTCTTTTTCCTCTGTGTCAAATAGGAGGGGGACAGGGCCTCATCTTGGAATCAAATAAATGCAGCAGGTTTTTAAATGGGATATTGCTGCATTTTGAGAGGTACCTCGAGTCTTGAGAATCACTCTTCTAGGAGAACAAGCCTGTCAGACCCAGCTACCAAAAGCCACACTGAGATTTGAGTTCTGAATAACGGGTAATATGCCCATTGTTGATGCCGATGTGTCTGTGTTGGTGCCCTAGTGCTGGAGTTAAATTTCTGTTTAAAGCCTTCTGTAAAGCAACTTACTCAGCCCTTCTGCCCTTGACTTCTCTTTCCAGTAACCCTGCAGGCTGGAACAGAGCAGTCGGGAACAGCAATGGATGTGTCCATTGGGTTCTCCCAGTAGGGAGAGAGCTGTTCCTTCCCAATAGAAATCTGCCTACCATGTGTTACTCTGCTATATCCACCCTAAGACCCTATCCTCTCTGCCCACAGGGCCTGGTATAAAAAGCCCAGAAGAACGAACAATCGAGTACCTGGAGGAGGTCGCTATTGACTTTGCCAGAGGACTAGCTAATAAGACTGTCTCTCTTAAAAAGCAAAAAGGGCTAGTTCAGAGTAAGTATCAAAGCCCTGAGCTCATCTTCAGTGCGTTGTAGCAAGTCGATTCAGCTTTGCCTTCCAGAGACATGGGCTCACGTGCACACTATACTCACATTGAGCAAAGAGGAAATATAGGTCCCATCCTGCTATGGTCCTGTTTAGAAAAGCACTTAGGGTGAAGGTAACAAGCAACTTGGGTACCTCAAAGGGGACTTTGACCAAACTCAGGTACTGGAGTCCAGGATACCAGCTCTCAGGCATCTTGATTATAACCCATCACATCTAGACCCACTAGGTGCCTGCCCTTTTGCCAGAAAAGCTATGTGGGGTCTTGCAGTTTGGGTACTGCACATACATGGTGGCAGCACAAATCCACAGCACCATGTGGTTAGGAGTCAGAGGTTGGGAGTGACAAATGTAGCCAAGCCATTAGTAGAGCCTGATCTGCTCTGTGTGCTTAGACCATGTTTAAAAATACCTGATGTCACTGAGTCTTGGACTCGGAGCTACCTCCATTCAAACTACAGTTTGGGGCAGGGAGAGCGGTTGCCTCTTACATATCAGCCTAGTGGTTAAAGCATATGCCCAAAAAGTGGGAAACCTGCTTCGCACACTGGATAGGTATGCTGCTTTAGAGCAGTGGGGCCCAGTGTTTTTGCTCTGCAGACCAGATGAGTGGTGCCAAGTTGGTCCATGGGTCAGATGCAGTCTGTGGGCTGAATCTAGCATGCGAGGCAGGCCCACCTGGGGCCTGATCTCAGCACATGAGGGTTGGAAATATGGCAGCAGGGGAGTGGTGCCACTATTCCCCCACTGGCAAATTTCTGGGCTCAAAGGCAGCCCAGTGGGCTGGTATTGAGCACCCGATGTTAGAATCATTGTATACAGTGCCTGGCAGGGACTGGAACTGGGGAGTAGACGCTTCATCTCTTGGGGTTGCTCCCTGCTGCTATAGCCCAGCTTTAAACATGGAGGGTGGCTCAGTCCAGCCTTGCCCACCCCTGGCAGTCCTGGGGGGTCGACATTGGACTCCCTCAAACTGAGAAGGGAGTTTGAATCAAGATCACTTGCATCTTGGGTGGGTGCATGCTCTAACTACTAGCTACTTTGTGTTAGGCTAAGGGAGTCCCCATCACTACCGACTGTGTCTTAAAGACCAGAACAAACCAGTTGCTCACTACACAAAGGGGTGCCTAGTGTGGTGAAGCCCAAGTGGTGGCTTGGGCCTGTGAAATGCCAGTTCTGTATGTGCCCAAGTCTGGGGAAGAGATAATTCAGACATTCCAGCCTGAGCCTGTTTTGGCTGTAGGGTCAAAGTAGCACTTAGATGCCTAATAGGTGAAATGGGATTTGGGTCACTCTGGCACCCCCCAGTCTGGGCATCAGCTGTCATGAATCCTACTCCAGGCTGAGTTCTCACTGTTTAAATTGTAGGCCCACAGGTTTAGGAATTCCATCTCAGGCATCGGGTGCATAATTAAGCGTGGGAACAAGCAGCTTTGCCCTGCCACTGTTGCTTTGGATCTGGGCCTTGGTTACCTACTTCTAACACAATCCTCTGGCAGAGTGGAGGAAAGCATTATATCCTGTGAGGCATGAAATCCTGCCCCATTGAAGCGAATTGGAGCTCTGCCATTGGTTTCAATAGAAGCAGGCTTTGGCCTTAAATGAGATTTATCACAGTGGAGTGGATTGTAAGAAAGTTCTGCTCTAAGTGCCCTGTGTGCCAATCGCTCCAGTGCCAGCTACAGCTAATTGTGTTTCAGATGAGCAGCTCCCCCTCTGTTGGGAACATCAGTGAGAGCTGTAGCATTCATGCCATTCAGCTAGCTAGGCAGCCCTGTGAAGGCTGGGCTTCTGAAGGGTGTTGCCTTGTGCCGTCTTACAGAAGTGACAGACTTCGCCTTCTCGATTCCATTTGTGAGACAACAGATCTACAAGACGGTGGAGAAGAGAGTGCAGAAGCAGACCAAAGGTCTCTATCCCGCACCCCTGAAAATCATCGAGGTAACCAGCACATTGAGGCCCACGTCACTTCTGGTACCTGAGACTGGGCCTACAAGAACATAGCTTCTGCCAAGGGCAGATGGGTCTCCCCTTGCACCTAAAACAGCCGTTGCTTCAAGAATTAAAATGGCCACACCTCTAAACACTTAACCTCCAGGCTGACCAACCCAGGCTGTGTACTGCAGGTTTGCTGGGATTAAAGTAGCTTCCAAAAGGAAACAAATTCCAAATCAAGCATAAGATACAATAATAGCTGCTACAGGAACCAGCCTGGAAAGCAGGAGGCTAAATACAAGATTTCTGAATTGCCTTTAGTTTAACTTGATTAGAAGGGGGCTTTTTTCTTAAACAATGCCACACCAGTAGGACAGTACTATCCAATGACTAGCTCTGCAGAAGGCCATGGCAAGTTAGATTCCCAAGCAGCTCAGACTATTTGGAAAAGTTCCCTACAAGTAAATCTTTTAAAACTTTTCAAATGGAAATTGTTCAAGAGGTTGCTAACTTCTGAATTACTCTTGGATGCAAACCTTTCAGCTCCACCTGCTGGCCAATTGGCAGCAAACACCTGAAACCCCACATTAAGTTCCACCCTACAGAAACAATTCCATTATCTGAAGCTGCTTCTCTGATTAAACTGGCAGATTTAGAATCATAGAGCAGTGGGGCTGGAAGGGACCTCCAGAGGTCATCTAGTTGACCCCACTGCCTGAGGCAGGGTCATCCCTATCCATACAATTCAGTACAAATCCTTGTCTGACTTATTACTAAAACTAGTCAGCCATTTGCACAACTACAGGACATGACACCCCAACCTGCCACAGGCAGAGTAGGAGGTCAATGGAGGGCAGCATTCTGCTGCTGCAAGAGTTGTTAAAATGCATTTGAGAGATCCAAGACAGAGGACCACGTCCCGTGCTACAAAGGAAGGCAAAATCCCTGCAGTCTAGTCTACACCAATCTGCCCATGGGGTAAAATTCCTTCGTAATCCCAGATATAGTGACTGAGCTGACCTTGAGCAGATGTGCACAGCCCTGTAGTCGGGAAACTCTGGGTCTCAGTCCCAGCAGAAGCTATGGTTGAGGTCTGCTTTGTAATTCTTCTGGCCTTTTAGAGTGAAATCTTCCTTGGAAAACATGGAACAGAAGCCCAAGGCTTTAAAGGGTATCGCACAGAATAGGGTTGGGGGAGTTGGGAGAGGGAGGCTGACATCCTGTTGACTCTTCATGCATTGTTTTGTTATAACAGGAATACTGTTGTATAGAACTAAACAGCCTTCATGTGTCTCTTTGGCTAGGTTGTAAAGACTGGCCTTGACCAGGGGAAGGAGGCTGGCTACCTCATTGAATCTCAGGTAAAAACACTACAACTTTAGTGTATTTTTAACTATGCACGTGCATCAGGCTTGGAGGTTTGGGCCACTTGCAAGGGAAGGTGGTCTTCCGAGAATGTCCTAGGAGGGTGCTGGTGATGTGGGCTGCCTTTCAGAGTAGATGGGACATGCTTTCCCCTCATGCATTATATACTTTAAAGCACTAAAATAATACGCTTTCAGTATTGTCGGTTTGGTCAAAGAGCCTGCTGTTCTGGGCAGTAGGAACTGTGATAGACTAGTAAAGTAGTCAAGTGCTGCTTGCCAAGAACACTGCTGGGGTGAGGAGTTGCTGTAGTTTCCTGTCCCACATGAGGCTGGCCTCCTGCCCAGCTGGAGCCAGTACAGGTGACTTCAGGAAGTTTCAGCAAATCCTCTGCTGGATATTGAGGGAATAACTTCAGTGGTTGCCTCATGCTTAAGGCAGAAGGGCTCACTCCCTTTAGATGAGGGGCTTTTATCCACAATATTAAGTATCTTTAGAGTCACAGAAAATTAGAAGGGACCTCAGGAGGTCACAGCTAGTCCAATCCCCTGCTCAAAGCAGGGCCATCTTCAACCACATCATCCCAGCCAAGGTAATCCCAATTATTCACTAATCTGGTTTTGTGTGTTGTGGTAAATTGGCGTCTCGTGTGGTAGCAAGTGTTGCAGGTGGCTTATTCATCATGCAGAGAGTTTGCTCTTTTAAAACACTTCTTCCATTTCATTACCTGTTTTCCTTCTCTGAGATGGGCAATAAATGTGCCCATGTACTTATTCCACGCCCATCATGATTTCACATTTCTCCACCATATCTCCTCTCCATCTGCTTATTGAAGTATGTCCAGTCAGCCTACTTTTTAGATACGTATATGGCTTGAACTGAACAGCGCTCTAATACTGTGTCATTAGTTCCTGTTCTTTGCCTTGTACATCTTAACACTTCTTTTCTTTTGTTTTCTGGGTGTTGCTTTGCACTGGGCAGGTGCTGAGTCCACAACAATGCTTAGGTCTCTGTCCTGAGTAGCCGCAGGTAACTTTGGATCCAGTAATGTAAATGTGGAATGCAAATGCCCTTCAACACCAGTCTCCTCGCACTGTGTCAAGGCTGGATTCATTCACATCGGGTCCATTCACCAGGCCTTCTAGGACCTTTGTTGTTCCAACCTCTTGAATTGCTTAAGAATGTTCTCATCTGTACTCGTCTGCATCTCAGCGTAGACTATGTTTAGGTCTTTATTTGGTTTCAATCCATGTACCAATCCTTAGGTTAGCAGCAGAGTGCCCCTTTCAGTGTTAAAAATTGGCCACTCATTTTCCCTCTAGTTTTGAACTAGAACAGGATTTTACTCTCACCCTCTGGCTGCCTGTTTGTTTTATTTTATTCCTTTTAAGAGTTCTTCTTGTGCAGGATGCTGTGAGATGCATTTGAAAGGCAGAGATGGAACTGGGACTAGCTTCCCAGATTAAGGACAATAAGAAGTCCTTTTTTAAATACATAGTGAGTAAAAAGAAGGTCCCGGGTAATGTGGGGCCCTTGCAGGATGCGCTGGGAAATTTGGTCGTCACACCAGACGACAAAGCTAACGTGTTTAACGATTTCTTTGCCTCTGTCTTCCTAAGTAGGAACCAGAACAGCCACCTCCCTGCTGGGCCCCCCTC